GGCTCAGCCTGTAATCCCGCGCCTTTGGGAGGCTGAGGTGAGTGGATGGCCTGAGCCCGCGGGTTCGAGACCCGCCTGGGCAGCGAGACCTCATCTCTACAATAAATCAAAAAATCAGCCAGGCGTGGTAGCGCATGCCTGTAATTCCGGCTACCTGGAAGGCTGAGGCGGAAGGATCGCCAGAGTCCAGCAGGTCGAGGCTGCGGTGGCTGGAAGCGGCCACTGCACTCCAGTCTGGGTGACAGAGTGAGACTTCCACTGAAAAAAAAAAAAAAAAAACCCATTCGGGTACACTATATTTTTTAATTGGAGAAATTAGTTAATTTATATTCATGGTTATAAATGGTTGGTGGGGACATACTCTTCCTGTTTTATTAATTGTTTTCTGAACCAGACTTGGTGGCTCAACCTGTAATCCCAACACTTTGGGAGGCCGAGGTGGAAGGATCGCTGGAACCCAGCAGGTTGAGACTGCAGTGGCCATGAGCAAGTCACTGCATTCAGCCTGGGTGATAGAGTGAAACTCCAATCCAAAAAAAAGAAATTGTTTTTTGGTTGTTTTACATATCTTTTTTTCCTTTCTTCCTTTTTATTGTTTATCTTTGAAGTTTAGTGGTTTCAGCAGTGAGAAGCTTTTATTTCTTTCCCCTTTTCATTTGTATATCCACTGTCGTTTTTTAAAATAGTTACTATGGAACTTAAATTTTATTGAAATTTACTCATTGTTACAATGTTTTTTTATGCCCTAATTTCCTTTTTTTTCTTTTTTCTTTTCTTTTTTTTTTTTTTTTTACTGTAGTCTAACATCTATACTGCTACCACACTGATCTTTCTAAAATACAGATAACACATTGGTCGTTTTTCTACTTAAAAATATTTTATTTCCTATTGCCTCTTGGATAAATTTAAAACTCCTTAGTGTGACATAAAAGCCTTTACTGCCGGGTGTGGTGGCTCATACCTGTAATCCCTGCACTTTGAGAATCAGAGGCAAGAAGACTGCCTGAGCTCAGGGATTCAAGACCAGCCTGACTAACATGGCGAGACCTTGTCTCTACAGTAAATCAAAAAATTGGCTGGGTTTGATGGCACATGCCTGTGGTTCCAGCTACTTGGAAGGCTGAGGCAGAAGGATCACCTGAGCCCAGCAGGTTGAGGCTTCACTGGCCGTGAGCTTGCCATTGCACTCCAGTCTGAGCAACAGAGTGAGATTCTGACTTTAAAAAAAAAAAAAAAAAAAGCCTTTACTAATATAACCCCAGCTGATTTTCTAGTTGTATCCATTGTACCGTTTTCATTACCTCCTCACATGATACCCTATACCATACTGTGCTTCCTACTTTTCTCCCAATATAACATATTCATTAAAACAACAACAAAGTTTAAATTAGCATTTGGAAAACAGTTCATCATTGCAAAACATTATTAATTTTTAAGTAGACATTCTCAATGTATCTTCAAAGTAATTTCCCTTCATTCACAAATTTAGCCGATCAAAGATTAGCATTTAGGATTTTAAAGATCCTCTTATTTGGTGTTATTATTAAACAACACAAAATTCTAGCACAAGGCAAGAAAATTCAGCCCCATAGATCCTTATTACCTAGAAACTGGCATTGTTATACTATTTCCCCTTCACCAAATTTATTCTAACTGGCAATTATCCTTCCTTCCAAGAAAATTTCAAATTCATTGGAATCATCCCGTAACATAGTGACAAAGTCATGAAATCCTAGAAGTGTGCCAATAATTTTCCTGTAGCTGGCTAGCTGTTCAGCCAAAAAGCAAATCTATACGTTTCCATAGCAGTAACTAAATATTCTTGTGATTTTTTTTTTTAAGCAGCCACAGATATCCTAAAAATAGCTAAGGACAAATTTTACATGCTTTCTACATATTGGTGAAATCTACTTCCTTTCTTTACTACCTGCAATATTTCTACTAACTTTTCAAGATCAATCCAAATGGCAACTTTTATTTCAATACCTTCTATTTTCCTCATAAAGATATCAATAGATGACCACTCTCCTTGCTTCTCATAACATATTTGCAATATCTGTACCGTTACATAGATTTTATTTTTTAGTTTTTACATCTTTCTCTTAAGTAGTCTCTTAGTTGCTTAAGGACATGATTTTTAAGTCAATCATTTTTAAATTTCTAGCCCCTAGCTCAGAGACAACCTGGACAAAGGTGCTGAATAAATATTTGCAGAAGCGATACCGTTTTTCTTCCCCTCCACACACACACCTGGCAGTTCTGAGTTTTTTTCTGTTTCATAAATCTCTCAAAGATGAATGTGGCCTGGAAGAAAAATATTGAATACAACATTGCTGTAGTGACAAGATTTAGTTTCCATGTCTGTTGCAGAATCCTCTGCGTGAAAACACCCTCCACAAAGAGTACCATGAGTCTCAGAGAGGAACAAGAGATGGGGACATTGCAAAGAGGTTGCAATATTCTTCACAAGATCTCACCTCCAAAAGAGAAAAGAGGATGCTGCAGTCACCACCATGCAAAACGAAAGTTAACATGTGGGAAATAAAGCCTCCTGATTTTAGTTATAAACTCTATACTTCTTTGAGATTTCCAGAAATACCAACACAAATCATTAAGGAAGAACAAACGAAGAAAAAAAGCAGCCTTCCAGAAACAATGTTTCACCTGCCCAGTCTGAGAAATCATCCCAAGAAGGCTGTATCTTCTGCGTTTATAAATTCATTTCCACGTCTGGATTCACATAAAGCAGAGTTAATGTTTGTGCAGAGTGGGAAATATCCGAGGGATGTATATGTCAATCCAAAACCACATGACTTTCGACAGGTACAAAAGAACATTTGATTCAAAACAACTTAATACCAACGAGGAAAAGCAGATATCATTTTCTGTTCATTTCTTGATTAGAAATGAACATGAAAATAAACAAAAAATATGTGCAAGCCGGGCTTGGTGGCTCAGCTTGTAATCCCAGCGCTTTGGGAGGTTGAGGTGAGTGGATTGCCTGAGCCCATGGGTTCGAGACCCGCCTGGGCAACTTGGTGAGCCCTCATCTCTGCAATAAATCAAAAATTAGCCGGGCGTGGTAGCACGCGCCTGTAGTTCCAGCTCCTTGGAAGGCTCAGGCGGAAGGATCGCCGGAGCCCAGCAGGTGGAGGCTGCGGTGGCCGAGAGTGACCACTGCACTCCAGTCTGGGTGATAGAGTCAGACTCCAACTCAAAAAAAAAAAAATGTGCATATAGTTTGTATAATGCTGCATCTTTTTTTTTTTTTTTCATAGAACAATATAACTTAGATTCAACAATAGATGATAGAAAAGAGAGGGAAGAGCCTGGTTATTGTTTCTGATGGGATTTTATCTACCAAATGGAGTGGCCAACTCTGTTTTGGATTTAGATGTGATTGGAGAATGGACTTCAGCAGCCAGAAGTTTCTAACTTGGAATAAATAAATGAATGAAAATTGTCAAAAGGGATATCTTATTACTTAATGACTATTTCAGGTGATTAATCATTTAATTAATGTATGGACAGCAATGAGATTTATAATTTTTTTTTTTTTTGAGTCAGAGTCCCACTCTGTCTCCCAGGCTGGAGTACAGTGGCACAATCACAGCCACCACAGCCTCGACCTCCTGGGCTCAGGTGAGCCTCCTCCCTCAGCCTCCCGAGTAGCTGGGACTACAGATAAGCACTACCATGCCTGACTAATTTTTTTTATTTTTTGTAGAGATGAGTTCTCATTCTGTTCCCAGGCCTGGCTACAGTGGCGCACTCATGGCCACTGCAGCTTTGACCTGCTGGGCTCAGGTGATCATTCCTCCTCAGCCTTCCAAGTAGCTGGAACTACAGGCATATGCCATCACGCGCAGCTAATTTTTTTTTATTTATTGTAGATACCAGCCAGGTTGCCCAGGTTGGTCTCAAACCCGTGAGCTCAGGCAATCCTCTCACCTTGGCCTCCCAAAGTGCTGAGATTATAGGTTTGAGCCACTGCGCACAGCTAGATTTATAATTTTAAAGGGTGCTGGCAATATGGTGATGCAACTGAGATCAAAATATAATTCCACAGGAGTATGAGTTTAGCCTATGCTTAGGCCTATAACTTAGCATATAAATATGACTGTTGCTTGGAAGAGCGTGAAACAATAGAACTGATAGTACAAAATATAGAAACAGTGAGATTAAAGAATACATTTATTTCAGTGAGAAAATATAAGATAGTGATTAAGAGCATGGCTTCTAGGATTATCCCTATTCTTTTACTTTTTTTTTTTCTTTGAGATGGTGTCTCACTATGTCATCCAGGCTAGAGTGCAGTGGCACGCTCACAGCAATCGCAGCCTCGACCAGCGGGGTTCAGGCAATCCTTCCATCTCAGCCTTCCAAGTAGCTGGAACTACAGGCATGTGCCACCACATCCAGCTAATTTTTTGATTTATTGTAGAGATGAGGTCTCGCCAAGTTGCCAGGGCTGGTCTCGAACCCATGAGCTCAGGTAAGCCTTTCACCTTGGCCTCCCAAAGTGCTGGGATTATAGGCATTGAGTAACCATGCCCAACTTCTCTTACTTATATACAGCATGGAATAGCAATGCTACACATTTTGTGTGGTTATTTTAAGTAATGGAGGAGACAAAACACGCAAAGCACAGCAGAGTGAGGAATGTTGAAGTATTAAATGAATGCTAACTCTATGAGCTATTAGGATAAAATGTAGGGAGCTCAGGGAACCACAATCATTAACTTTCTTTACTTGTTCGAGGCATGGAAACACATTTTTGGTAAATAAAATATTTTATCTTTTAAATATGAAGGAGATCAAGTAAATATTTGAATGGTTATTGGTTTATTTAAAAATTTCCCTAGTAACAGAATGATAAAACTTGGGTAAGTAAAGTTCAAGGAATGAGGGACATTTTAATGGTAGCTGAATTAATTTGTCTAAAAGTTAGTTGGAGGCAGCATGATATAAATTGTGCAACCACCAGATGTCAGGATTGTTGCAAATTAAATCTCAATGAAGGTTTTTTTTTTTTTTTTTTTTTTTTTGAAACTAACTTGGCCTCAAGTTATAGTTTACTAAAAAGTGAAAAATCTTGTATTAGAGAATCTCTTTCTTTGGAATTTTAAAATTTTTCTACACGCTTGTGGCAGGACTAGAGTGACTAATTACAAACCGACCAGACTTCTGCTTGGTACCCTCAAGTTCACTGTTTTGTGCTGCATTGATTCAGTTTTTGAATAGAGATATGTGATGTTTTGTCAGATCAGTTTCTAGAGTATACAAATTCTATTTCAGTTCTAACTGATCCATTTAAGCCATCTAAAAAATCATACTTTGTTTTACAGCTTATTAAAAATAATCAATAGTTACTATTCTTGACAATTTAGCTTTGCTCAATATTTTTACTGTCTCTAAAATAAATTCAGCTCCCAAAAAATAACATGTAACTCAATATGCCATAGATTAAGATCAAGATTGAGTTTAAGATTAAGTTGTCCGGGCACAGTGGCTCACACACTTATAAGCCCAGCACCTTGGAAAGCCAAGGTGAGAGAATTGCCTAAGCCCACAAGCTCAAGATCAGTTAAGTTGACTAATTTTGAGTAAGGTCCTGTAATTTCATACTGTTTAAATATTATTTTGGCCAGGTTTGGTGGCTCAGCCTGTAATCTCAGCACTTCGGGAGGCCGAGGCGAGTGGATTGCCTGAGCCTGAGGGTTCGAGACCAGCCAAGGCAACTTGGCGAGACCTCATCTCTACAATAAAACACAAAATAGCCGGGGGTGGTAGCGTGCGTCTGTAGTTCTGGCTATTTGGAAGGCTGAGGTGGAAGGATCACCAGAGACCAGCAGGTCAAAGCTGGGGTGGCCATGAGCGTGAGTGTCACTGCACTCCAGCCTGGGCGAAGGAGTAAGACTGCAACTTAAAAAAAAAAGATATTATTTTTTATCTATGCACATAAGGATAATTGAAGTATTCTTCTCTACCATAAAATGAATTGCTTTTACAGTATTTGTGTTTTAAATTATTCTTTCAAATAATTTCATGTACAACTGTTAAATGCTGTGTGTGTGTGTGTGTGTGTGTGTGTGTGTGTGTGTGTGTGTGTGTGTGTGTTTAGTTGGAGTCTCACTCTGTCGCCCAGGCTGGAGTGTAGTGGCTCACTCACAGCCACCACAGCCTCGACCTGCTGGCCTCAGGCAATCCTTCCACCTCAGCCTTCCAAGTAGCTGGAACTACAGGTGTGTGCCACTATGCCTGGCTAATTTTTTTTTTTTTTTTTTTAAGGAAGCAGGATTTATTGAGAGGACAGAAAAGCTCCCACGGTGGGAGGAGACCTGAGGAGGTTGCCCTAATTTTTTGATTTATTGTAGAGTTGAGATTTTGCTAGATTGCTGAGGCTGGTCTTGAACCCCTGAACCCCTGAACTCAGATAATCCTCTCACCTCTGCCTCCCAAAGGCGTGAGCCCCCAAGTCCAGACAAATGCTACATTTAAATGTTACAAAAGCTGGGCTCAGTGGCTCAACCTGTAATTCCGTGCTTTGGGAGGGTTGCCTGAGCCCGTGGGTTCGAGACCTGCCTGGGCAACTTGGAGAGACCTCATCTCTACAATAAATCAAAAAATTAGCCAGGCGTGGTAGCGCACACCTGTAGTTCCAGCTATTTGGAAGGCTGAGGCGGAAGGATCGCCGGAGCCCAGCAGGTCGACGCTGCGGTGGCCAGGAGTGGCCACTGACCTCCAGTCTGGGCGACAGAGTGAGACTCCAACTAAAAAAATAAAAATAAAAAATGCTACCACAAAATCCTCAAAATCACATTTGCCAATGAAATATTTAATATTGGGAAAAACCAAATTCCAACTACAATAATAAACAATAACTATTAGTAATAGTACAATCTTCTCTTTACATATCTAGTATCAACATGATTTACCAAACTTCGTGACAACTTGTGAAAAGGACCCTTTTGGATTAAAATTTAAGTCACAACTTTTAAGTACAAGTAAGTAGTTATCATAAAGTTATAAATATTGCAGAAAAACTTTCCACATTATATATTAAGAGTAGCACTCGCAAAGACTTATAACTAAAAAGATAATTTTTTAAAACTTACCATCTTTAATAATATAGTATAATAATAATATAGTGCCTGTTTAATTATTGCAGCAATCCATTTACTTTGCTACTAACAACCGTTAATACATTATTAAAGATTGAGTTTGTAACTTGATATGTCATATATAGAAAACAAAAAGAATGTAATGATTGAGAGAATAAATCCTGGAGCCAAGCTGTACAACTCAATCTTGGTTTTGCTGCCCCCAGTTAACCGAACTGTCTGCTCTTGGTTTCTCCATCTGTAAATGGAGAAGATAACAATGGAATCTACATCTTGGAATTATTGTAAGCATTAAATCTGTTAATGCCACATGTAAAGCCTTTAGTTAATAATGTATTGTAAAGCACATGGTAAGTACGTACACACACATACTGTAATTATTATGGTACAATTTGTATAATGTTTACCCAGAGTTAATTTGCATTATTCAATATTCTTTAGTTGGATAAGGATGAATAATATATGAATGCTACATTTACATATTATAATTATATGTCAGTGAAAACAATAAGATGTTAACATTGGTTGTCTCTGGAGAGTGGAATCGTGGTTTTTTTATTTGTTTGTTTTTGAGTTGGAATCTCACTCTGTCACCCAGGCTGGAATGCAGTGGCATGCTCACGGAACCTTGACCTTGATCTGCTGGGCTCAGGTGACCCTTTTGCCTCAGCCTTCCAAGTAGCTGGAACCACAGGTGTGCGCCACCACCCCCAGCTAATTTTTTGATTTATTGTAGTGACAAGGCCTTGCCAAGTTGTCCAGGCTGACCTCAAATCCCTGGGCTCAGGCAATCCTCTAGCCTTGGCCTCTCAAAGTGCTGGGATTACAGGTGTGAGCCACTGCACCTGGCTCCAGAATCATGGTCATATTTCATTTTCTTTTCAAAATTAGAAGCAGGCTGAATGTGGTGGCTTAAGCCTGTAATCCCAGCACTTTGGAAAGCCGAGGCAAAAGGATTGTCTGAGCCCAGGGGTTTGAGATCAGCCTGGGCAACTTGGCAAAACTTCGTCTCTACAATAAGTCAAGAAAAATTAGCCGGGCTTGATGGTGCATGCCTGTAGTTTCAACTACTTGGAAGGCTGAGGCAGAAGAATCACCTGAGCCCAGTAGGTGGAGGCCGCAGTGGCCGTGAGCGTGCCACTCCAGCCTGGGTGACAGAGTGAGACTCCAACTAAAAAAAAAAAAAAAAAGAAGCAAATAATTTTTATAATCGTAAAATTAAGACAATTAATTTACAAGCATATACATTTTATCATGGATTAAAGTCTCATCTAGGTGTGTAATTAAAATAGAACACATCAACTTTCCTTGTAAGTGCTATGTGTGACTCACTATGTAAGAAAGTGTCAAGGATACTTTATAAGACCCAGTCTCTGACCACAAGATCTTCTGAGTAACCAGGCGTGGTTTGAGACCAACCTGGGCAATTGGCAAGACCTTATCTCCACAATAAATCAAAAAATTAGCCAGGTGTGGTGTCAAGCACCTGTAGTCTCATCTACTTGGAAAGTTGAGACAAAAGGATCCCGAGTCCAGCAGGTGGAGGCTGCGGTGGCCTTGAGGATGACACTGCACTCCAGCCCGTGTGACAGAGTGAGACTATGACTGAAAAAAAAAATCTTCTGAGTAAAACATAAGGTGGAATGCAAAATATGCCATCTGGTCACAAATACTATTGAATAAAGATGCTTTAGAAAGAGGTTACAAGGACAATAAAAGGTGGGATTGGAACTGGAGTTTGAGGAAGGACAAAATTAATTCCAGCAGAACTGGCAGAAAGAATGACAAGAGTTTTATTTACATTTGCATGTGTCCTAATCTCCAAAAATGATATCATATCTGGGAGGCACCAAGAGCAAAGAAAAGTGTCATTGCTAAGCCTCTCGTCTGTCTTCATATCTTTAGTACATGGGGGTCATTTACTGACAGATGATAGACAGAAGAACACGACAGAAAGATTTATCACCTACAAGCCTCGCCAGTGCACCTGGGATTCAAAGCTAATTTTGACAAAAGCCCCATGGCCTGTTCAATCGGCTTCATACACGGTGAGCTTGGCTTTCTCACTAGCTGTTGGGAAATGTCTCCAGCATTGTTGTCAATAATTGCTTTAGTATAGAGTATTTATCTATCTATCTATCTATTTATTTATTTATTTATTTATTTATTTATTTATTTATTTTTGAGTTGGAGTCTCACTCACTCTGTTGCCCAGGCTGGAGTGCAGTGGCACACTCATGGCCACCACAGCCTCCACCTGCTGGGTTCAGGCGATCCTACCACCTCAGCCTTCCAAGTAGCTGGAACAACAGGTGCATGTCACCACACCCAGCTAATTTTTTTTTTTTTTAGAGATGAAGTCTTGCCATGTTTCCCAGGCTGGTCTTGAACCCCTAGACACAGGCAATCCTCTTGCCTCAATCTCCCAAAATGCTGGGATTGCAGGCATGAGCAACTACAACTGGCCAGTACAGGAGTTTTCAATTTGTTGTAGTGTGTACAGTAAAAAAAAGTTTTTATATTTAAAAGTAAAGCATATAGATCTCTGTTTTTTTTTTGAAATGCTAAGGAGTGGATTATCTAGAATTTTGAATTTTTTTTATTACAAAGATAGCTAGTATGATGGATTAAGTTCTTTTTTATTTATTATTTTTTATTTTTTGAGTCAGGATCTCACTCTGTTGCCCAGGCTGGAGTGCAGTGGCATGATCATACCTCACTGCAGCCTCAGTCTCCTGGCCTCAAGCAGTCCTCTCACCTCAGCATCTCCTGTAGCTGGAACTAAAGCCATGTGCTATCACACCCAGCTAATTTTTTATTTTTATTTTTGTAGAGATGAGGTATTGCTATGTTGCCCAGGCTGGTCTCGAACTCTTGGGCTACTTTCATCTTAGCCTCCCAAAGTGCTGGGATTACAGGCGTGAGCCATCGCACCCAGCTAAGACCTAAATGATGTGAGAAATTTTTCCCAAACTTCCTCCCACCTTCTTGGGAACCCATGAGTAGTTTAGTGAATTGCACTCAAGATAGAAGTCCTGACAAGAAGACTCTGTACTACACGCATAAAAAAAAAATTGAGAACACGTGCTTTTTACCCTGGCTCAAATTCTATCCTGGTCAAATAAGACTGCTTTGTAAACTCTGTATGTCTAAGCAGAACAAGATGTGAATCTGGAATGCAGGTAGGTTTTTAAAGCAACGATTATGAAATAGCAATTTTAAAAAATAAACAACTGCTAACATTTACACACGCTTGTTTTCACCAACTCCTTTTATACCTTCTTCCTTAAGAGACACAGAAGGCGGCGTGATGTGTACAGTGCATTTATGGATCGTGTGGAGGAAAAGTTTACAAAGTCTCGCAAGAGCAGGTGGGCAAAAACTGTAGAATTTGTTGTTAAATACTTTCATTCGTGCTTTAGGATTACTACTCAATTACTGTTTTAAAGAAAATACATCTTGGCCAGGTGCGGTGGCTCATGCCCATAATCCCAGCACTTTGGGAGGTGAAGGCAAGAGGATAGTTTGAGCCCAGGGGTTCAAGACCAGCCTGGGCAACATAGTAAGACCTCGTCTCAACAATAGATCAAAAAATTAGCCAGGTGTGGTGGCACATGCCTGTAATTCCAGCTACTTGTAAAGCTGAAGCAGAAAGATCTGAGCCCAGCAGGTCAAGGCTGTGGTGACTGTGAGCATGCCACTGCACTCCAGCCTGGGCGACAGAGTGAGACTCCTATGCAAAAAAAAAAAAAAAGTAGATAGGTGGCCAGAAAACTATCTTCAAATGGGCAAGAATTCATTTGATATTTACAAGTGGTGGACATGGAGTCACCCTACCATTGATTTAGTATGTAGCTTTATCCTCACAAAGTTTACCAGATAGTTATTATTATTTTTTTTTTTTGAGTTGGAGCCTCACTCTGTCCCCCAGACTGGAGTGCAGTGGCCGCTCTCCGGCCACCGCAGCCTCGACCTGCTGGGCTCCGGTGATCCTTCCGCCTCAGCCTTCCAAGCAGCCGGAATTACAGGCATGCGCTACCACGCCCGGCTGATTTTTTGATTTATTGTAGAGATGAGGTCTCGCTGCCCAGGCGGGTCTCGAACCCGCGGGCTCAGGCAATCCACTCACCTCAGCTTCCCAAAGGCGCGGGATTACAGGCTGAGCCACGGAGCCCGGCTTCAGATAGTTATTTTAAATTGCAAGGACCCTGCTGTACTCATGCCTAACTCTTTTTTTTTTTTTTTTCTTTTTTTTTTGAGTTGAATCTTACTCCATCACTCAGGCTGGAGTGCAGTGGCACACTCATGGCCACTCCAGCGTTGACCTGCTGGGCTCCGGCGATCCCTCTGCCTCAGCCTTCCAATTTAGCTGGTACTATAAGCGTGCACTACCACACCCACCTAATTTTTTATTTTTTGTAGAGATGAGGTCTCGCCAAGTTTTCCAGGCTGGTCTCGAATCCACGGGCTCAGGTAATCCTCTCGCATGGCCTCCCAAAGTGCTGGGATTATGGGTTGAGCCACCGGCCCATGTCCAACTCTTGATTCCTACAGCAACAGTAGGGTTTTGTCCTCTAGTGGTGTCACTGAGCTTGACCTTAGTAGTTGGTGGCTCAGTGCAAACACAGGTCTCCAACCACAGAGAAAATGGTGCGGGGGTCCGTTATCAACAGTTTCCTAAAATGGTTACAGAGAATCACAGACCATTGTTGACGGGAGGTTACACTGTGAGTTCAGGGCCTCCAAACTAAGCCAGAATCTGTCTTCATAGATGTTCCGGGCAGCACATTTCAAGAGCAAATCTACCGCAGTATCCCACAGGCTTCTCAAAATAAAAATGTTTTCATCTGACATCATATATCCTCTTGTTTTTTTTTTTCCCTTGTAAAAATATTTATTATATTTGGCAAACAGAACCCAGTGAAGGTTGAAAAATGGCTTTATTTTTCTCATACTACAACTTTCAGATGTGCTGTGTTAGTCCTCTCATCCCTGAGTTTGAGAACAACTTTGACAGGTGGTATATTTTCTTTCTTTCTTTCTTTCTTTTTGAGTTGGAGTTTCACTCTGTCGCCCAGACTGGAGTGCAGTGGCCGCTCCTGGCCACCGCAGCCTCGACCTGCTGGGCTCCGGCGATCCTTCCGCCTCAGCCTTCCGAGTAGCCAGAATTACAGGCATGCGCTACCACGCCCGGCTGATTTTTTTTGATTAGGTGGTATATTTTCAATCACTTCATTTGTACTAGCCTTGTCATTGCTATAATATAAGCTCAAGTTCAACCATGAAAAAGTTCTATAATAAAATTTTTAATATTTCGGTAATTCAAGATTATGGTAAGATCAGGATAAAAGATATATATATAATTTCTACTTCACATCAGTCTTTTTTTTTTTGAGTTGGAGTCTCACTCTGTTGCCCAGGCTAAAGTGCAGTGGCACGCTAACCACCACTCCAGCGTCGACCTGTTGGGCTCCAGCGATCCTTCTGCCTCAGCCTTCCACGTAGCTGGAACCACAGGCACGTGCTACCATGTCTGGCTAAGTTTTTTCTTTTTTTTATTTATTGTAGAGACAAGGTCTCTCCAGGTTGCCTAGACTGGTCTCAAACCTGCCTCAGCCTTCCAAGTAGCTGGAACTACAGGCATGAACCACCACGCCCGGCTATTTTTTTGATTTATTGTAGAAGTGAGGTCTGGCCAAGTTGCCCAAGTTGGTCTCGAAACTGTGAACTCAGGCAATCCTCTCACCTCAGCTTCCCAAAGTGCTGGGATTATAGGAACATTTTTTTTAATGGCGAGTTTTCTTATAATTTTTTAAATTTCAGATTTTTACCACAAAACGGGTGAAAATTTCAGGTGAGAGAGACTGCTGTAATCAGCCATGACATCCCCTGTGTGGCAGATGTCCAAACAGGAGGGAAGGAGGGAAGGGTGGGAAAAGAGAGAGGAAAGAAAGGAGGGAGGGAGAGAGGGAGGGAGGGAGGGAGAGAGAGAGGCTGGCTCACTGATTCTGAGTTAATACTCAATTCAAAATTTATTTGCTCTTCTCAACAAAGTCATGCCCTGCAGCTCAGTTTCTGGGGAAGGGAACATCTCTCTTGTTTTTCTCTTTCTGCAACTTCTCCTAATCACACTTCATGGTTTCTTGGTCTCATTTTATGTCCCAAGTGTTGTTATCCAGAGGAGAAATGGAAGAAATGGGCAAAAATCTCAAGTGAGAGAGACTGCTGTAATCAGCCATGACATCCCCTGTGTGGCAGATGTCCAAACAGTGACTGGCTCGTGGGGATGCTTTTGGGCATTCTTCTCTGTCCAGGACAGAGACCTCATTCAACACAGTTCTTTGGGAGAACTAACCTCCAGCAACTTGCCTGTCTCTGCCTCAGCCTACTGCCTCTCACAGGTCTGGTAAGAAGCATCTTATCAAAGGTGGGGTTACCCACGAGTTGACTGGAAGCCGGCTATTTTACTAATCCATCGTGTTCACAGGATCCTCCTTCCATATAGCACACCAAATGATGAGAGTAAAGACGGTCTCATGTTCTCCTTTCTCCTTTCCCTCACATTGTGAGCAGTCTGTTTTTAAATCTCTAGATGAAAGCCGGGCTCAGTGGCTCAGCCTGTAATCCTGCGCCTTTGGGAGGCTGAGGTGAGTGGATTGCCTGAGCCCGCGGGTTCGAGACCCACCTGGGCAACTTGGTGAGACCTCATCTCTACAATAAATCAAAAATTAGCCAGGCATGGTAGCGCGCACCTGTAGTTTCAGCTACTTGGAAGGCTGAGGCGGAAGGATCACTGGAATCCAGCAGGCGAGGCTGGGGTGGCCGGGAGCGGCCACTGCACTCCTGTCTGGGTGACAGAGTGAGACTCCAACTCAAAAAAAAAAATCTCTAGGTGAGAAGTTGGCACCATTCTCTATGATCAAGTGCACACCCTCTAAAACCTCCAGGGACAGATATGAAACCACTCTCCAGCAGGAACCCCCATACCACCTTGTGCTGAGGGACACCAGAAGTGGACTTTGCACTTTCTACATTTCAGCATGCATCTATCCTGAGCATACCTGCTGCCTTTTCCCTCTTGTAGACACTGCTGATGAAAAGATGCCAAACTGTAAAATATTTTAAGATGGTCTATTCTGAGTCAAATTTGAGGACCTAGGCCCGGGAACACCCATCTTCAGGAGGCCCTGAGAACATGTGCCCACCATGGTTGAATGATGGCTTGGTTATATACATTTTAGGAAAGCAAATGTTACAGAAAACCATAAATTAATACATATGATATTTTCATTGGTTTGGTCCAAGGAAGGGCTTGCAGGTCATAGATGGATTCAAAGATTTCTTCGCTGGGCATGATGGCTCATGCCTATAATCCTAGCACTTTGGGAGGCCGAGGTGAGAGGATTGCCTGAGCTCACGTGTTCAAGTCCAGCCTGGGCAACTTGGTGAGATCTCATCTCTACAATAAATTTTAAAAAATTAGCCAGGAATGGTGGCATGTACCTGTAGTTCCAGCTACTTGGAAGGCTTAGGCAGAAGGATCCCCTGAGCCCAGCAGGTGGAGGTTGTGGTGGCCATAAGCAGTGTGCCACTGCACTCCAGCCTGTACTACAGAGTGAGACACGGACTCAAAAACAAACAAAACAAAAAAAACAACAACAAAGATTTCTTGACTGGTAATTTGTTGTTTCTATCTAAGGAATTTTGGAAATCAGTAGAGGAGATGCTTTGTTAAGATAAGGGGGTGATCTAGAAACAGTGGCTCACGCCTGTAATCCCAGCACTTTGGGAGGCTGAGATGAGAGGATTATCTGAGCTCAGGGGTTCAAGATCAGCGTAGGCAACATGGCAAGACCTCGTCTCTACAATAAATTTTTAAAAAAATTAGCCTGGCATGGTGGCGTGCACCTGTAGTTCCAGCTACTTGGAAAGCTGAGATAGAAGGATCACCTGAGCCCAGCAGGGCGAGGCTGCAGTGGCTGTAAGCATACCACTGAACTCCAGCCTGGGCAACAGAGTGAGACCCCAACTCAAAAAAAAACTTAAGGGGGTGAAAACTTCCAGGTGATAAAGTCCTACATGTGGCAGACTTCGGGGAAGATAGATAAGTGTCTTGCGAGGTTCATGGAGCCTGGGAGTGTCCTAGAGATGGCTTTGCAGGGTCATAGAATAATTTGATTTCCTTTTTTTTGTGGTATGTGTTGTTAAACCAGAGTCAGGTTGGAAAACAGACTTTAGTATAGAGGGTAATAGGATAATAAAACACTGTCTAGTGAGTCCTGATCAGTCCCCAGGCCTCCAAGGAATTTGGATAAAAGGAAAAAAAGATCAGGGTTAGTCTTCAACACCCCCAATCTTTATAAAAGCTAAT